CACCGGGACGTCCTGGTACACGGCGCGGCCCTGGCTATCGAAAGGCAGCACCTTGACGGTGTCCAGGAACTTCTGCAGCGGGTCCACGAAGCGGACGACCAGGCGGCGGGTGTCCGGGGGCACCTCGATGGTGAAGGCGCCCTGGTAGCCCGTGAACCCGATGCTCTTCTGGCCCAGGAAGACCTGGTCGCAGCCGCACTCGGCAACCACCTTGACGGGCAGGACGTAGCCGGCGCATCGGACCTCGCGCAGCTCCATGCGCCGGACCCCGCAGCAGCGCTCCTCGTCGTCCCGGCACTGCCGCTCCTCAGCCGGGCTCCCGGCGCAGCGCGTGGCGGGGCAGCGGCCCACGTCGTAGTAGGGCGAGCTGGAGGCATCCGGGAAGCACTCGCCGGGCAGCCGGATGAGGCTCTGCTCCGGCCGGGCCCGGCAGCTCGGCTGCCCCTTGCCTGGGAACAAGGGGAGGAGAGAAGAGAGGTCAGGTCCTGGTGGTGGAAACCTCTTTGTGCCCCCCGTGCCCTCCCCAGCGCCAGGCAGAGCCCCTTGCAAGCCCAGGAGCACAATCCTGGAAAGGGGGAAGGAGCTGGCCAAGAGCTGCTGCACCCTCCAGCCCCATCCCACGGCATGGCCATCCAGGACCCTGCGGGATGCGTGCGCCTGGGCTACAGGGACCCAGCACCGAGGGACCCAGCACCGAGAAACCCCCTGGGCAGCCTCCGCCAGCCCGGGGGCAGCCTTGCCGGCAGGTTGTGCTCTGCAGCCCCCCCGCCAAGGGCACGAGTGTGGCATTGCCCCTGCCCTGGAGCTGGGGCTCCTGCTGCCCCAAAGGCATCCGGCTCCTAATGCTTCTGGGCGCTCTCCCTTCCCCGACGGGGGCAGACGGCACGCAGGTCCTTCTCCCTCTGGCACAAGAGCCCTCGCCGCCCTCGTGGCAGGGCTTGCACGGTCCCAGCAGCCAGGACTCACCCAGCACGGTCAGGCGGGCGATGGCAGATTTGATGGCGCCCGCATCGGAGCTGGCCTTGCAGTGGTAGGCACCGGCGTGCCGCGGCTGCAGCTCCTTCAGCACCAGGCGCCCGTCGTACCGGTAAACCTTCCTGTCTAGCAGGGTCCCGTTGTGGTACCTGCAGGGACCGGCCCCCACAGGCTGAGCCAGGGGGTCTGGGGGGGCTCCCGGTCTCCCGTGCATGCTCAGCCCTGCTGCTGCCCCTCACATCCATCCCAAAGCACAGCCCATGCCCCCCGCTGTGCCAGGCCTGGGCTCCCTCCCCATGGCCCACAGCCCTGCTTGTACCCCAGCCCGGGGGACGCCGGGGCCCGGAGCTCGCCCTGCCCTGCCGCTCACCAGTAATACTTCCTGGGCACGGGGGTGCCCGAGGCTTTGCAGCACAAAGTCACTTGCTGCCCAGCAGTCCGGACCTTCGAGTCGGGGTGCATCACCATGTAGGGCTTCTCTGCCGGGAGAGAGGGGGCAGCGGGTGTTGGGAGGTCAGGACCCTGCCCATCCCCACGGCCGCCAGCCCTCCCCATCTGTGTTACCCCACTTCGGGGCTGGCCCAGCTGCCCCGGGCTTAGCCGTAACCCGCCCCCGGGCAGTTTGGGGGTCCGGGTGGCCAGGAGGGATGCGCGTGCTGGGGGTCCCAGCTGCCTGCTAGCCCCTGTCTGAGCCCAGGGCACCAGGCGCAGCGCCCGGGACCCCCGCAATCCTGGCTTGGCGAGCAAATCCAGCTTGCAGCCGAGACCCAGCACGCCGCGCCTGGCAGCGCTAGGAGGCTGTTACCCCCCGTGGTGGAAGCCGCACCTCCCTGCCCCCTGGTACCACGCGGGCCCCTCACCCAGCCTGCGGAGCGTGACCTGCACTGTGGACATCCGGGGGCCGCTGGCGATGACGGGGGCCGCGCCCGGGGAGAACCGCTCCAGCTGGACGGTGACGTTGGCGGTGCTGCCGGCGCACATGCCCGGGACGCGGAAGCGGCCGCGCTGGTCAGTCCGGGCCAGCGTGGCCTGCGGCCGGGCCCGCAGGGGGGCGCGGGCAATGGGCAGGGGCGGGCCCCGCTGCCGGCGCACATGCCCGGGACGCGGAAGCGGCCGCGCTGGTCAGTCCGGGCCAGCGTGGCCTGCGGCCGGTCCTGCAGGGTGACGCGGGCATTGGCAAGGGCCGACCCCTCGGCCGAGACCACGGTGCCCAGCAGCGTGTGGTCCGGGCAGGTGCAGCCGCTGCAGTCCTTGTTCGCCTTGCCCGTGGCGCAGGTCAGCTGGCAGGCTGCACGGGCACAGCAGGGGAAGGCGGTGAGGCCAGGCCACCCGCCCACGGCACACCTCGGCGTGGATGGGGGACCCTCGGTGCTCTTCTCTCCCCGGCAGGAGCAGTGGGGGCCTGGCCCCGTGGCATTGGCTAACTGAGAACACCCCAGAATAGGGGCAAGCTCCACGCCGTATGTGCCACGGGCACGGGGGATGACGCCTGCTTAGCCGGGGAGACCCGGGCTGGGCTGCGGGCGGGGAAAGCAGGATGGGGACGTGGCACTAGGCATGGCCGGCAAGGAGCTCCAGGTGTGGCAAGGCAGCTCCAGGGACAGTCCAGGCCCAGCGGACTCAGCCCTGGCTATGGGCACCAAGGAGGGCAGAGCCCCTGGCTCCCTGCTGCAGCACAAATGCAGGGCAGAGGCTTTTCAATGGGCTCCCTGGGAGCGGGGGCATCACCCTGCTCGCGGCCTGGGCACCGCTGCAGGAGCCGTGGGCGTGCAACAGCCAGCACAGCTTCCTCTGGACGTGCCATGCAGCCCTGCAATCCCCTGCAATCCCCTGCCCTGGGCCTCGGGCGGGCTGCGGCGTGGCCAGTACCTGGGCAGGGGGTCCGGGCACACTTCTGCACCTCCGAGGGGCGGCCGGCGCAGCGCGACGTCCTGGATTTCTTGCAGCTCCGGCGCCGGAGTCGCCTCCCGCCGCTGCCGCAGGTCTTGGAGCAGGGGCTCCAGGCGCCCCACGGGCCCCACGTGGCCTCTGGGGCAGAGGGACCAGCACCGTCAGGCTCTGGATGCGCCACTCAGGGACCCGCGGGCTCCGAGGCAGATGCAGGGCACCTACCCCCGAGCCCGAGGGCCCAGCCCAGCCCTGCTAGAGGCCAGAGCCCCGGTTACCATCTGCGGGTGGCCCTGGCCAGCAAGCCCGTGCAAGGTGCCACCATGCCCAGGCCATGCCAGGGCAAGGCACAGAGGGTGGGTCACCCCCCAGTCCCGGGCAGCCCGTTACCTGCGCAGGGCCTGGCGCTGCACACCCTGCGCTCCAGGGCCTTGCCCGCGCACTCGCTGTCCATCGGCCGCGCCAGGGGCTGGGGGTTCACGCAAGCGCGGTGCCGCGTCTGGATCCCGCTGCTCCCGCAGGCGGTTCTGGAACAGGCGCTCCAGGCCGACCAGTGCGACCAGTACGCGTGCTCTGGGGAGGCATCACGGGGTGCGGAGGTGACCGAAGCCCCCCTGACTTTGGTAGGGCTGTGCTGCCTACACCAGGGCTTGGCTTGGCCCTGGGACCTTGTGATCCTTTGCGGCCCTGCAGCCAAGTATCTCCCTTCCCTGCCCCTATAGCGGGGGGTATGCGTGACCCCTCACCCGGACCCCTTGGCCCCAGGGACCAGCTGGCCCAGACATGGGCGCCCCGGCTCTCTGCGCTGGCAGGCGAAGGGTTAAGTTTCCCAGGGCTGCCTCCCCAGGTGAGCGGGCCCAGGTGAGGTGGGGGTGGGCTGATTCCCTCCCCCCTGGGATTGGGTCCCTGGGGCTGGGACGGGCAGAAAAGCCCCGGGCTGAGGCTGGCCGGGTTTCTTTGCTGGGGCCGGGGAGAGAGCCCCGGAAGGGCTGGCTAGGCACAGACAAGGCAGCTTTGCAAACGATGCAGGGAAAGCAAACAGGGATTATTAGCTCCTCATCAGCTCTCTGGCACCAGAGCCAGGGTGCGCCAGGAAGCCATTAGCAAACAGGCATGAAACAAAGCCAGGGAAGCGCCTTCCTACCCAGCCGGGGGCAAAGCCTGCAGCTCAGGGCTGTGGGTCAGAGCCTGACCTTATAACCGCGTGCAGAAAGGGGCTGCTCAGATCTGTGCAGGGCGATCCGGGGGTGCAGATTAATGCAGGGCTCTGCGCTCAGGGGAGAGAGTCTGGGGCAGACCCTTCAAATGTAGATACTCTGAGATGCAGGGAAGGGGCTGTCTGGGCCCGGGGAGCAGCTCGCATGCTTTCTCACTGAAACTTGCTCCTAATGGGTAGAGGAAGCCCGGGGAAGGGCAGCCGGGATGGTCAGGGGCATAGAGAGACTCGAATGGCAGCATTAGAAACGAGGCAGCTGCAATGAGAGAGGCCTGCAAACCTCCTGACTGGTGCAGAGAAAGCGAACGGGGATTAGCTCTTAACCACTCTCGGGGCACCAGAGCCCTGGGGAACCAGGAAACCATTAGCAAGCTGTCTCCCTTGGCCTGGAAGTCCACACGATGCTGTAGAGCAGTGATCCTCAACAGGGCTGCCATGAGATCTTCCCGAGGGTGCTGTGCAGGGCTGTGCAACATCAGCACAGTTGCATCTGCAAACACCTATGCACAATTTGCACACTAAACCCAGGCATTTCAAATAAGACCCTGGGATGTCAAACATATCCTGCCCTGCTCACGGTTGCTTGCCACACAAGTATTATTGCTCCGGTGGTTTTGTGTAGTCACAAAAACAAATGAGGAGAGACTCTGAAAGGCCTGTGGCTGTGCTCAGAGAAGTTATGGAGAGGAGCCTTGAGGACCATCAGGCTCAAAGGGGCTGGACAAATCTCTGCAGGGTCAATGGGCTATTCAATAGGACAGCCAGGGCTGCAACCCCTGCGTTGGGATCGCCCCAGGCTCTGACTGCCGGCACGGACGCATCTGCCCAGACAAGCCTGCACAAGCACTGAGCATCTCTCCCCTGCCCCTGCGATGCAGGGCAGGGGCTAGAGCCAGGTGCCAGCTCTGATGTTCCCAGCCCCTTAACTCCTTAGGACTGTGCTAATCAGTGAAGAGAGGCAATGGAGTGGGCTGGGCACGGAGAGGAGCGTGCATCAACAGGCAGGCATTGCTCCGCACACATAATAGAGGGGGCTTGAGGACTGCAAGCACCTGACAGTGAAATGAAGATTAGCTCTGCAACACTCATGCACTAAAAACCCAGGGTGCACCTGGAAGCTGTTAGCAATCAGGTGGGGAACAAGCCCCGGGAAGCTTTCTTTACCCAGCTTAGAGCTGCTTCTTAACTAGGCTGCGGGATGAGCACCAAATCCTCTCTGTCCCCAAGAGAGACCAGAGCTGGGGCTGGAGGGGCCCGGGGTGCTCGGGTGGCCCCAGGCAGGGTGTTCTTCCATCCAAGCTCCCTCCCCAGAGCCCTTGTAGATGCAGCCCCATTGCTGACCTCCTCCCTGCCCAGGGAAACCTTCCCCTGTCAGCCCAGAGCCGTGCGGGAACGGGGGGACCCAGTGTCTGGCTGCACCGGGCAATGGCAAAGCTCCCCGTTTGCACACCTCGTGCATGCATGTAGCAGAGGGGTGGAGGGACGGTGCCCCTTATGCACCCCCGGCTGTGACCCCCTGGGCCCGGCGTGGCTGCTCCCAGCCGGATAACTGCAGCCTACTCACCCAAGGGGCACAAGAAGCGGACGTGGTAGTTGGAGCAGGTCCTGCCCTCGGGCTGCTCTTGGTTGACGCACCAGAAGCCCTTGCGGGGGCTGGCGTGCACGAACTCGCCCACGTCCCGTGGCAGCTCCCACTCGGTGGTGCGGGCCTCGAGGGCCAGGGGCTGGGCGCACACGCGGCCCTGGTAGTAGAAGCGAATTGCCTCCAGGGTCTCGTAGTCGCCGTCCCCGCCCGGGTGGTCGATGTTGAACCAGGAGGTCCACTCGGTGCCTGAGGGGCAGGGAGAAGAGCGGCTCAGAGGGGAGCGGGGCGCTGCGTGTGCGAGCCACAGGGGCAGGTCGATAAGACCGCTCTGCTCTTGACGGCTGCAAGCAAGGGAGCGCTGGATGGGGATGAGGTCTACTAGACAGAGGGGGGACGAAGGCAACCTCGCAGTGATAGCGAGTATGTTGTATTCCTCGAACAGCATCGCTTACAAATGGTCAGAGGGAAGTCGGGTTGGAAGGGAGCTCGTGGGGTCGCATCTCGTCCAGCCCCCCTGCTCAGGGCACAATCACCCCTGAATAAACCGTCCCAGCCAAGGGTCTCTCCAGCCTGCTCCCCTCGCTTCAAGGATGGAGATCCCCCGCCTCTCCGGGCAGCCTGTCCACCCTCCGAGTCACATCTTTCCTCCTCATCTCCAACCTAAACTCCCCCTGCCGCAGCTTGAGGCCGTGGCTCCTAGTCCCGTCCCCTACAGCCACGGAGAAAAGCTCATCTCCATCCACACCCTTTCAGGTAGCTCAAGACAGTTACCAAATTCACTGAAAAGAGCGGAAAAATTGTTCTTGATTTGCAAGTTAACGCAGTCCAGTAGGCTGCTGGCTTTTCTGGCAATAAGAGTCGGCTCACATTCAGCTTATGGTCCGCTGTGACACCCAGGTCCTTCTCCGCGGTACTGTATGGATAAATACTCCCAAGCTATGTGCTCAGGGTGAGAGCCCAGGAAGGGAAGCAGCAGGAGAGCTGGTCACAGACCTGAAACTGAGACAACTGTGGGACATTCAGACTCTCTCATTAGAGACCAGATAGTCCGGGGCTGTTATACTGAACAAGCCAGGGAGCTCTTACCAAAAGAAGGGGACCTGACAGTACAAAGGGCAATTTATATATGTCAGGTAGGAAAAGACGCGTATTAAGTGCAGGTTCAGGCTCAGATGAGAAGGAAGAGCTCTTCCTGCGAACAGTGGAAGATGAGCTCAAAAGACTGGCTATTTAATTCATCGTCTCACAGACAATGAGGGTGGCAGGGACCTCAGGAGGTCGCATCTAGTGCAACCCCTGCTCCAAGCAGGACCAGCCCCAAGTACATCATCCCAGACAAGGCTTTGTCTACCCAGGCCTTAAACACCTCCAAGGACGGAGACTCCCCCACCTCTCTGGGGAGCCTGCTCCAGCGCTTCAACCCCCTCCCAGCGAGAGTTTTTCCTAATATCCAACCTCCCCTTCCCTTGCTGCACCGTGAGCCCATTGCACTTGCATTGCCTGCAAGGCAGATACTGGGGCACGAGGAAACGTGATCACAAACTGAACCAGAGAGGGGCATACAGCGCTTATAGAAGTGAAAGAGTCAAAAAAAAAAGTGTCAAAAGTTGAGAATGGAATGACCATTTGCGTGCTAGGAGAGGGCGCCCTGGCACTGAGATCGAAAGGGAAAACAAGAGAATAAGAGGTGGTGGTACGCCGGGGACCGCGGCCAGTTTGGGCTTGTATGGAGCACTGTGCTACAAGGCCTTGTACCATAGAAAGGCTGAAGGATGGCACTGATTTGAAGGCACTTATAGCATGGTCTGAAGATATAGCTACCTCTTCCTGTCTGTAGTTGACAGTAAGTTTCTGGATATAATAAAGGGCTGTTTCACATCACAAACCTCTAAGTCTAGTGAAAGAGAAGATGAAGTCGCCACCCATCTCCTCCCCTCGCCCTTGGGGACGAAGGGAGACGCTGCAACTGCCTGGAAAAGGTCCAAAGAGCAATGTGCACTGCACACGAAAGCCACCCAAGCAGACGTACGAGAGGAAGAGTGGCAGATTACTCTGTTCTGAAGTCGCAGGCAAAGGATAGGTATAGCGCCTGCTAAACAGAGGGGAAGGGGGAATGACTTGAAGAACTAATTAAAATGTTTGAAGATCGTTGCATCCCTAGAAAAAACAGTGACTTGAGGAAAGAGATGTTCAGGATGAGAACAGAAGAAGGGGAACCAGTGGGAGAGCTGTCCCAGACCTGAGCCTATAAGCCAGTCCTGGGAATACGGACCCCACGCAGGCGCTCTCATGAAAGACTAGGTTAGTCCTTGGATGCTACAGGGAAAAAAGCTTGAGTGATTATTGAGAGGGACCTGCTACTAGAAAAGGCAGCGTGTTTGCCGAGCTGCAGAGCAAGCAGAAACGCATGTGCAGAGCCCAGAGGAAGATGCACGGGAGCCGACTCCAGCCAAAGAGCGGCCCGCAAAACCGCAGCGGGGCAAGGAGTCGCGTGCGGAGCAATAAACACCATCAGCGTTGTGCCAGCCTGCATGAGTCGAGAGAGTGCCCAGCATTTGGGCAAAAATATAGCTGTGACGCGCTGAAGCGCTGTGCTAAAATGTGCGGAGAAAATAGGAACGTATGAGCCGTGAGCGCAGGAGCAGCCTCCAGGGAGAAGGAAGGAAGAGCGCGTTTCCAAGCATGAGTCAAGGAGAGCCCATTTTAATGGCTAGTTAAAATGCAGATGGAACAGCACTTGCATGACATTACTTGCAGGATAAATACTGGGGCACAAGGAAGCATAACCACAAATTACAGAGCAGAGGTATAAGGGGCTCAGAAGTGAGTCTAAAGGTGCGGATGAGGGGATCCAGTGCTAGGAGAGGCTCCCCTGGCACCGAGATACAAAACACGTGTGTGTGGCGGCCCGCAGAGGAGAGCTCCTCGCTGTGGGCTTGTACGTGTGCAAGGTGCTAGGTCTTGTGAAGAAGCCGTGTACCACAGAGGCTGAAAGATGGCACCGAACTAAACTGGAGGGCACTAATAGCATCAATGGAGATTAATAGCATCCATAAAGATGTGGTCGCAGGGAATGGATGCCTGGCAGTGACATGCAAAATGCGGTTCAGAGCTGCGGCAGAGCCAGGGAGACGTGCCTGGAGGGAGAGACTAATAGAAGAGCTACCAAACGTGGCAGCAGACGGCATCGCTGGGGACTAGCCGAACCCACAGGCCGGGTCCATTCCTTGGTCCTTGCAGAGAGGGGAGGAGGAGGGGGACAGCTCTGCGTAGACCCAAAGGAGTTGAACAAGCGCACAGAAAGAGAGCACTTTCTCCAACCCACAGAAGAAGCGAGCTGTGTCAGCTATGGCAGAAGCCAAATCCTTCAGCATGTCAGATGCTTCAGGAGGATTTGGGTAGATCCTCTGGACACACAGATTCATAGATGTTAGGGTCGGAAGGGACCTCAATAGATCATCGAGTCCGACCCCTGCAACACGTCGTTGTGTTGACACGCCACGAATCCACGGGCAGGGCGAGGGAAGCAGCGGTGATGCAAAATAAAGCCTGTCCGAGCAGTTTTACTTCACCGTGCTGAAAAGATGTTTACAGTGGTGGGAAATCCCACTCGGGCGACCCAACGCAGTTGTGACACCGTACGCGGGAAAGATCGACCCTTGTCCACGAGAAACTTCCCTGGTTCATCCTTATCTCGCTGACCTTGCTCTGAACCCCCGTTCCCTGCCGTACCTGCTCAGGAAGCCCCTCGTTTCCCCCCATTGTACTTTTTCTTCCAAATCATCCGGCTGCTTTCTGTAATCATCTCTTCTGCTGATTTCCCCGTTCCGGTCCCCTTCCTGACCGAGCTGCGCGTGCGGCTGTACTTCTGTTGGTCCACAAGCCTCTTTCCCTCGCTGCTTCCCTGGTCCCCGCGGCTTCCTTCAACCGGGGCCGTCGCCATCTCCCCTTGGCTCTTTTCCCAGGACTTTCACTGCAGCTTCTTTAACACTTTTTTCATGCTTTCCCAATGTCTGTTGCCACCTTTCTCGCTTTCTTTGGCTGCCAACATCTCAAGCTGATATTTCTTCGTAACAAAAGGTGCCTTCAGTTTTGCAGGATTAAACTTGGTCCCCTGATTCTAATCACCTTTGGCTGTGCTAGTTCTTGGTCCTGGCTTCTTGGTCCTAACGAGAAGGTGAATTTAATGATCTAAAATACACTGAGCCCTTAGCAGACATCCACGGATGCCACTAAAGGAGGACTGGGAGCAGTGCTATTACAGCGTCTGGGAGCCGGTCTTGTGTGCGTCCAGGGCTGAGTCAGCTGCAGAAAAATTGTATGCCGAAATTTGAAGAGAGGCCATTGGACAGGCTTATGGATGCACAAGATTTCATGACTTTATGAGCAGCAATTCCCTGCACTGGGCTGGACTATCCAAAAAAGGACTTGGAGATGATGGGAAAGCAGGGCCGGCGGGGTCCTCGGGGTGTCACGTCTAGTCCGGCCCTTGCTCCAGGCAGGATCGGCCCAGCCAGGGGTCTGTCTAACCTCCTCCTGAACCTTGCTCCAGGGGTGGAGATTTCGCAGCCTCCCTGGGCACGGCTGGATCACCCTCAGGGGCAGACAGTGCCCCCCAACCCCCTGTCTAAATGTCCCCTGCTTGCCTTGGTAGGAATTTGTTAGTGCCATCTGCTCCTCTCCAGACTAATATCCCTTTGAGTTCAGCTTCCTTCGTAAGCCAGGCTTCCCGGGACATGAATAATTGTTGCAGCTCTGCACGGGACTCTTTCCAACCTGTCCACCTTTTTTTCTTGAACACTGGATGCAGGACCCCAGGTCTCTCCACTGCTGAGCAGAGCGGAAGAACCACTTCCCTTGGTTGCACGTGACACTTGTAGTAATACAGCCCCGTTTGCCGTTGGCTTTTTGGCAACAAGAAGACGCTGCCGGTTCTCATTGTGCTCATGATTTACTATAACCACCCCCAGGTCCTTCTCCGCAGTATTGCAGCACAGCCCGGCGCTCCTCGGCCTGTATTTGTACCTGCAATTATGCTGTCCCAAGTCCAAGGCTTTGTACTTGTTGGATCTCGTCTGGTTGGTTGTGGGTTGTTTTTTCCAGCTTATCCAGGTCATCCTGGATCCCAGCCCGGCCCTGCAGAGTCTGCAGCTCCACCCAACTCGGTGTCGCCAGCACACTTGCTAAGTGTGCGCTCGGTCCCATTGTGCAGTTCATTAATGAAGATATTAATACCCAACCCAGGA